TATTTCATAATATTTATAATAAATGTTTATGATCTGTACAATCTAAGATCACAGAAATATTTACAAAATATTTAAAATAAATCTTATAAATAGTTATAAATATTTTATAAATATTTTATAAATATTGTGTGCTGTTTAAGTTATCAGTTCTTACGATTTGAATGTTTACATTTAAATTCCGCCTCGTATTCATTTCTATCACTGTAAATTAACTTTAATCTCTTTATTATTTAATTTGCTTTCTATCTTTCTCTAATTTCTAAGAATTAAGAAAAATAAAGAATAAATTAAACTGGGATTATAAAGTTCATCCACATTGATAGAAATTGGACATTAATCCATCGATGTAATCGAACTTGCTTTGATGTTCACTTCTATATTCTGATATAGACTAACTTTAATTTTGATTTAATTTATTGTTTTTTTTCTGATTCTAAAATTAGGAAAAGATAAAGAATAAATTAAACCGAGATTAAAGTTAATCTACATTGAAATGAGTTTCAAATAATTCAAAATTACTACCAGATTTAGGATGTCCTACAGCGAAAAGAAACTCTTCATTTGATTAAATTAATTTAGTTTGTCTTTATTTCTTTCATTGGAAAATATATGTATTTAAGTCAAATATAATGTTTCAACAAAGTTTGAAAAAATTTTTTCAAAAGAAATAAATTAATTCAGTTATACAATTTTTTTCTGTATTTACAATTTTATTAGCTTTATGTAAAATAAAATATCAAATCAATTGCAGATATGAAATATAAATTAAAATATATTAAAAATATACTTGTTAAAAATAGACAGCATAGATAATTATATAAGTGGAAATAATGGAATCAGATTCTCTGGGTTAGAAATCCGATACGATTTTCTACGAGGTCTGTTCTTTTTAGCTTTCATGTACAATTTAGTTTTCCTCTTTTTCCAACGTGAAAAGAAAAAAAGAAAAAATAAATCATGCAAGAATTTCAGTTAAAAAACAAATCTGAAAAGATCACCTTAGTCTGCAAAGTTGACCTTATATCACTTTGTGTCACTTTTTACTTTAAATGTAATTAAACGAATATTTAACGTACTTCTTTAAGAAAAGATTCAGAAAATATTTGTAGAATAAAAATATCAATGTAACCGTTTTAGGTGTGAATTTTAATTCATATTCGAATCGTCGTCAAATCAATTAAATATATAATTTCGTTAAAATTGCACCGATTCGGTTCGATCGAAGAAGTTATTGCTTCGCATATTTCTTACATTCTTTCGTGTATTTGAGAGATCGAGATGGATTCATATTCGAAAAGGAGAAAGAAGGGATGATGAGCGAGGACGTCAAGAATACGTATATACATGAAATGTGCTCATATGCTTGCCATATGATTCTTAAGTGCATGTGCGCATTCGGAAATCTGCGCAACCGATCAGGTGATTGTTTCAGCATACTCGTGCTTATGCGTGACTACTTTAGGTACCTTTAAATTCCTTTCTCCTACGATTTCTTTCTACAAATTTTGATGATTCAGGAAAAAATGTTTTATGTATAATTATAGAAAATTATATACAATTATATATAAATAATAATTTTGTGTATAAATAGACATATTTTATGTATAATTCTATATAATTATACATATAACATTTTATATAATTTTTTATATAATTTTATATAACATATTTTTTCCGAGGAATTCGACAATTTTTTTAATTGATTAAATTGCATAAAAAAAAATTTTTAGCTACAAAAGTTATTTTTAATTATATTTTTTTCATTATGTGTTAAACGATAAAATATGATTACAATAATTTTATAACAACTATAATAGTAATTATAGTAATCTTAATAAATTAAACTTTTATAAAATATAATTCTATTGATGTTATCAAAGTAACATTATGTTATTTGATAAGATATGTAATTACTAAATCGATGGCGACTAATTTAATCGATAGAACTGCTGACGACAGCTAGAATATAAATGGTTTAAATAATTAATTATGCATTTGTTAGCCTTAACCTTAAGTTTCTTTCTGCGTGTCAAACAATAGAATAATTTAATAATCTTATCTATATTAATAAAATAATACAGATATTACTTAAATCAATCGTCAATATTAATTAATGGTAATATTAGTTAATGGTTTGAGTCATTCTTAGACTATCAACGTTTCTATCAACGTAAGATTAACTTTAATCTCGATTTAACCTACTATTTATTTTTTTCTCATTCTTAGGTCCAGTTCTACCTGCAATGTAAAATTAACTTTAATCTCAGCTTGACTTATTGCTTGACTTACTTATCTTTTTTTAATTCTTAGAATTCTTAAAATTAGATAAAAGTAAAAATTAAATTGAAAAAGATTAATGTTAATGTTAGGATAGAACATGATAGGACCAGATTAAGATCTTTTATTTGTTAATGTCGCATTAATCGTTACAGAAATATATTATTGATTACTTTCTATTTTTTATTTTTTTAAAGAAAATTAATTTTAAAATTCATGAGTGAAATACATCTTTTATCTTTTTAAAGTTTTTTTTTTCCAATTATTTCGTCATTATTCGAAATTTTTAGATTTCGTGAAACTTGAAAAAATTTGGACTTCGAAAAAATCTTTTCTTAAAAGTATTTAAGTATAAATAAAAAATGTTTAGAACTCAAAAAAAAAATTATTATTTATATAATAAAATATCGATGGATTAAAAGATTATGATGGATAAAAATATGGATTAAAAGAAATAAAAACGTAAAATATTATTAAAAGAGAAGAAAACATTTTTAAAACATGTAGGCTTTAAAAAATTGTTTCATTTCAAATAACATTCGAAATGATTCAAGATAATTTTTACGATACATTTTCATCGCGCGCGTATAATAAGTAATTTAATCGAAGTACTTCAACTGAATTACGATTAATTAAATCGGTGATTAATTCGCGATCGAATGATTGCAAAATGTGTTTCGTCCCTGATCCGACATTTTTTTCCGCGACAAGAAATTAATCATTCTATCCACGTTAACAAGATACTGCAGACATTACTGACTCAGCAAACTAATCGCCGATTAAATTAATCGAATATTCGATGGAAGTCTCCCTCACTGCACCGCAAATGCATACGCGGCTGAGCACGTTGCGCAGATTACGTCACGTCCGACTAACTCAACCTGACGAGTCTCGTACGGCGTCTCTGTGCACGCTAGCGTTATTTTGACCCGAGACCGAGTCCACAGCACAGCTGATAGCGCGTCGCGTACGTCGCAGTACTCTCAGTAGGTGATAGCACGTTATATCGTCACGAACATGAATTTGACACCCAGGAGATCATACAAGGAAAAACGCTCGTTCGGTGAGTTCAATTAATCGCTTCTCAGATGATATCTCCGAGCGTAGGGCTGCCTATGGTAGAGTGTAATATGTATAGGGAACACAAAGGGCAAAAAGAGAGATCGCGTCCTTTCATTCAGGTTTCCTATTATCGAGTAAATCAGAATGGATTCGCAATTATTCCGTTTTATTTCTGGAAAACACAATAGAAATTTAGTCAATAATTGAATAATTCCGATCCATTCTGACTCGTTCCAAGGTAGATGCCCTGATCTATGAGAAGAATTCTAGATTACTTAAAAACCTTCTCGACTTTCTCTGAACGATCGAAGACGCGCCCTTTGTTACTTTCTATTATAATTTCATTATAATTTTTCGTCTGCGATCTGTCGTGCGACGACCAAACCGATTGCGAGGGGCGTTCATTTACGTCGTAAGCTAATATCGACAAGTGTGATAGCGCGAGCGTTGAGAAACAAAGCGGGTTGAAAACAAAGGGTGAGAAGCACGAGGGCGAAAGGCGTTAAAACTGGAATTGCTATTGTGTGTGTATTTCGTGGAAAGAGAATTTTTTTTTATTGCGCAACTGATACGATTCGACGAGAGAACGAGAAAACATTCCTTGGTTTATTGCACATTTTCTTTATCTCGGATATTATTTTTAGTTAGATTTACGATTTCTCAGAATATGGCACAACGTTATTTTAACGTAGAGAATGAACTCTGAGTGGATACCATATCATAAAAGAATACAATCTTTCGATGAGTGTTAAGTTAATTAAGACGAAGAATGGATGAAGAATGGGTGCTTTCCATTTACAATTAGTGAGCTTTTCATAAGTATCGTTCTGCCTTTGTTTTTGATGGAGTCAAGAGAGATATAACGTTGTTTGTGACTTAATTGTTTGACTTAATTGTATCACCAAATGGAAAACAATTATTTCTTGAAGCTGCAATTGAAATCTTCTCTTTTGAAATCAGTGGAGCTTCCAAGGATTGATAAAGGCGTATGACTGAATTATTTTTGTCATAGCTCATTATTATATATCATGAAACATGATATCTAGGTAGCATGGAACATTCCAACATTTTCTTATTTGGTCAATGCACTTGTTTTATTGACAAAATGCATCATTTAATTTTCCACAAGACATAATTATGTAAAATAATATTGCCATACACAGAGAAGCTTACAGTATCACTGTTGTAATGTTTGCTATTTTATTACAATATTGCTGAAATGTTGCAGTGTTGCTGTAATGCTGGAATGATCCATGCTAAATAAAGATAGAGTATGATCATTGCTGTAATATTGCTGAAATATTTCGCTATCTGAATAATGATTATATTCTCTAACTGATTCGGTCAATGTTTATTTTGCTGTGAACAAGATGCATTATAAAATTTTTTGACATAACTGTATAGAATTATATTTAGACCTTACCAAATTCAAGAAGTTAGTTATTTATGCAAATAAAATTGACGAGGATTTTAAATCAGATGTGTAATTTATTATTCTGGTCGAATTAAGAAATATTTCAAAATTTGTACTGATGTGAAATATGTATTAATATGTAAATAATTGTTTCTTTTGCCAATCCAGAGCAGCGATCTGTTAGTGCAGAGGAAATCAGAAAGCTGCATCCAACTAAAATCCCCATTATTGTAGAGCGTTACAAATTAGAAAATCAGCTGCCACTTTTGGACAAGAGTAAATTTCTAGTGCCAGATTTTCTAACTGTAGCGGAATTTTGCAAAATAATCAGGTATGTTTCTTTGTATATATTTCTCACAGCATTTTGTAAAATACAAATAAATTAATGTATTTTGCACAGACGTCGGCTACAATTGAATCCTACGCAAGCTATTTTCCTACTAGTGAATCAGAAAAGTATGGTAAGCGGTAGTTTGACCATGGCCGAGCTCTATCAAAATGAAAAGGATCCAGATGGTTTTCTGTACGTTGTGTTCGCTAGTCAGGATGTATTTGGTAATCATTAACCGTTTACGTTGCGAGCTAATTTTAAACCATGTGAGTAAGATTCTTTATGATTCGACATTGCAACTTATTGTTCAAGACTAAGTTCAAGATTAATAATTGATGCAAAATTACAGGCAAAAAACGAAATACCTCCTCGGCACTTAATGATACTTTGATAGATGTTTATGTGGATTTTTGTGGGGATTCTACATCTGCTAGCAACTCTGTCTGCCTTTATTGGAAATGTGCAGAATCTTTGTGATCAACTTACCGTACCTGGAATAATTAACAGAACAATCAATTTGTTTTTTGGAATGTGTATAAATTATGGTGCTTTTTATCCCTTTGACATACGGACAAATTACATTTGATATAAGTTAGTATAGCGTTTACTTAGTTTACTCTAGTAATGATAAACTTTACTACTAATTTTAGCGGTAGTAAGTTATATAAAATTATAATAAGAATAATATGTATCTAAAGATATTATGTGGACATTCTTTTTTCGATAGATCAAGAAATTAAGGGAGATTTTCTCTTTCTTTCAAGTCCACACCTTCATTTAATAAAAAAATTCGTTACTTTAATAAGTTTCAGATATGATATTTGATTAATTTGTTTTTACACATCACATAATAGGCCAGTCTTTTTTAGTTTGTTTGCAATTCATGTTAAATCTTTATACTATTACATTAGCTTTTAAGCGTAAAATTTGTTACCGTTACACAAATGTAATTGAAATCAAAACGAATTATGTTTGCCAATTCAGCAGAATTGATAGATTCTGTTGATAGTTTCGATTATTACATTACATTTTTATGTGCTATAAAATATGTAACATTTCCGAAACTATATTATGATGACAAGATGTTTTTATGAATACAAAATATCTTGCTGCCATAATATCACACATATTGTTAGTATTATTTTTACCACACAATGCTAGGACATTGAAAAAAAAGTGTTCATGTACATAATCCGCAATGTATAATGTACGGTGATATGCGTTAAATTCTCATAAAATTACATTAAGTTACACAAGATATAAAATTGATCTCTCAAGTCAACGATGATACACAAAGTTAGTTAAGTACTACTTTAATCACTAAAACTTCAGGGCCATGTTTTAAGATAATCCGACGTAAGATGTCTTCTCTCTGTAAGAAACTCGTGCAATAAGCCACCAAAAATAAAGAAAACGAAAACGTATAAATTTAGGTATTTGTTAAGGCATGAGCAAGAAAATCAGAAGAAGGCAGACGTTTCTGAAACTTTTTAAATATTGGATAAAACATTGGATAGTTACGCGTTTGTACATTAACATATAGTCTCTCTGAGCTTTTTTTTAATTCTACTTTATAACGAATGCCAATTCATAATTACTCTACGCATCTATTTAATATACAGTCGACATTTATGTAAATATCTACTACTAATGTAATTCAATTTTACTATACTATAATTAGAGACAATTTTAAACATAAGAATATATTTCTAATAATAGGTTCAATTTTGTAATGCATT